TGAACGCGAAAAATTGTTCGCTTCATTAAAATTTCCTCTCCATAAATATTAAAAATTTCACTTAAAATTATAAATAAAAAAATGCTCACTATACGACGACAAAATTTATATAATTAATTAAGCCAACAAAAACTAACAAATTTTCACCTACAAACAGTAAGTGAAAATTAATAGGTAGGATAATTGTGAAATTAGCGTAGAAAAGGCGAGCTAAGAAACCTCATGGTGAATACCACCGTAATAATAAAAGTTTAATTAACCTAACATATTAAAATTTTCTTTACTTCAAATAAAAGTTTTTTTTGTTATTTCGGCAAATAATACCGAAAATCAAAAACAGAAAAACACACACACACACACAACAAGCATCACAAGATCAAACTCAGCGCACACCCACGCATAATAATAGATAGAAGAATGTCAAACATGAAGGACATGGACGACACAGAAACAGAAATAGAGGAGTGGATAAATAACCTAGATGATGATCGACTACATCAGACTCTGGCAACCTTAGAATTAAGAAGCGACGGCGAAAAGACAACCAGGGCACAGAGACTCCAGCGTTGGTTGATGGGCGACTACACATCGGCTGACTTTGACGAAACTACAGCACAAGAAATCGCCCAAGACCCAATTCGAAGAAATGAATTGAGATACGCCTACATCTCCAAGGAGTGCAAAACACTGGAAGACACAGGAGCAACCGATCGCGAAAACCACCCTCTATATAGACTACTCACTGATGACGAAATCGCAATCAAGCTAAACCTATCGGTGAGCCAATCCCTATCTAAAAGAGCGGAAAGAATCTCAAGAAGCGACGAGTACGCAGACGAACAAGCTTCAACAACGTCAGATAATGAGATGCCCATCATATATAACGAAAAGGGCAAGCCCGTTACAATCCCCGCAGAAATCAAGGAAGTCATGCACGAATGGATAAATCGACTCAGAAGAGTCGAAAAGGCCATGGAAAGAGAACGCCAGTACGTGTTGTCAATAGCACAAATGGCACAAACTATATGCGCTACCCAGGCCACGGAAACATCAAGGATGACTAGGGCTCTGCAAAGGATAGGCAATATCGAAAAGGAGATATACCTACTCCAGGAAAACCAACCATCGTCACCAACCCTAGAAAAAGAACAGCTGCCCAGCAAAACAGTGAACTTCCAGGACACGGTGACACTACACTATGACACCATAATACCAGGAAGCACCCCACAAAGACCACCACCAACGGAACAACCACGATGGAACCCCCCAATACAGCCCCCGGGGGGGAGTGGACAGCAGAATTCAGTAAATAATTCTGCCGAAGGGGGCACCACAAGACACACAGGCAGCTACGGGCAAAACACGACGACGGGCCTGTCAACTACACGAGACGTGGGAAGGATCGTGAGAGGCTGGCGAGTCAAGTTCTCCGGAGGAGACGACCAGAACGTTGACGTCTTCCTCGAAAAGCTCGAAGCCCAAAGATTGGCAGCTGGCCTCTCTGAGGAAGAGATGCTCCTCGGGCTACCCGATGTACTTACCGGGGTAGCCCACACCTGGTACCTGAATAATAACAAGGATTGGATAGACTACCAGGACTTTATTTCGGATGCGAGAGAATGGTTCGGTACTAGCATCCAACAGCAGCAGAGGCTCAAGAGAGAAGCTCAATCGAGATACCAGGGTGAAAACGAGCCAGCTAAGGTCTACCTCACGAAACTACAGGCCATGGTGAGTAAGCTACATCCGCCGATGCCACCGGCGGAGATACTCGAGCTAATGTACTCCAACCTACTCCCCGAGATAAAAATTCACGTGAAGAGAAGAGATGCGGTATCTATCCGGGAATTATGCCGGTTAGCGACGGAAGCGCAGAACGACATCACTTTCGCCCGACAAAAACGGACGCTGCTGGAACCCAAGGCCTCCCTCTTCCCTGAGTGGGCGTATCAACCTACGAGCGGAGAAACAACGGCGAGTAACCGTCGGCCGAAGGTAGCGGGCATGTCGGGTGGGAAGGAGGACGAGGAGGGGAAGAAAGAACCAACAGCACCGGAAATAGCGGGCCTAATGGAACAAGCCTTCCCGTCCGCGATGATACAGGGATTGGAGAGTCTGATCTCGAAGATAGTAGACCGAAGGAGTCAACGCCCGGTCCCACCTGCTGAGAAACCGAAAATCCCCGAGAAAAACGGAAGCCCAAAGATGAAGTCAAAGGGGCCCCGACGAGAGATCGATTTCTCAAAACCACTGACGTGTGTAAAGTGTGGCAGGTTGGGCTTCAGCATCAGACATTGCCCCGACTGCAAGGAAAGCCCAAAGTCGGGAAACGAGGCGAGGGACGGTTAGAGGGGGTCCCTACCGTCCCAAAAACAGAGAGGATCCCTCACTCCGATAGTCAGTGGGACGGGGATATCCCGCAGGCGAACCAGGCGATTACCCCGGCTGAGGCGCTGGCGAAAGTATCAGGAGTGAGAGGTGAATATTCTACCGAGATCAGCACGCAGGGAACGAGCGAGGAGAGCGAATCCAAGCCGATAAATCGACCATCCGAAGGTATGGAAGTATCGAGTTCCACGGATAGGGACTTAGACGCCGCAGGAGCAGATCCACAGGAAAACCCGGAGGAGGGGAAGGATGGCCAAGAGTCCTTGGGCGCCACGGAGGAAGGAACTTGCGGAAGGCAAGCCAACCAATGCGCGCCCAGGGAGAGAGGACCGCCCCCACCGGCTATCGGATCGGCCAAAGGTGACGGTCGAGGTCGACCTAGGAGCAAAGAATACGAACCCGAGGATGAGACGAGATGGTATTTGCCCATCAAAATAGGGGGATTCCGGATCAGAGCATTATTCGATTCGGGAGCATCTTGCACTGCGATGGGTAATTTAGGGCTGGAAATCGCTTCGCACTTGGGTTTGAGGCTAGAAGTGAAAGATGCGGATTCCTGCCGGTTGCCGGATGGCACGAAGGTATCCATAACGGATCACGTTCTCATGCCCATGACAGTAGGCGGAGTGACAAGGGAAATCCGGGTGGCAATCGTCCCAAGATTAGCGGACGAGTGTTACACGGGAGTCAACTTCATCAAAGCGTTCAAAGCCGTGATAGACTCGGAAGAAAATGAACTTTTCCTCAAAGATGAGAAGGTCAAGATACGCATGGAAATGGCGAGCATCGAAGGGCTGGCTCAACTAGCATCGGTGAGCATCGCGGAAGTATCGGACGCCCAACGAGACGAGATTAGCCAGATGGTCTCAAAGATTTTGCCAAAGCCAGGGAAATTCCTAGGTTGCGTTATCGGGGTAGAGCACGAAATCAACGTCGGAAGCGCTCGGCCGATTAAGCAGAGGTATTATCCGGTTTCGCCGAAGGTCGAACAGGAAATGCATCGGCAGGTTAACGAGATGCTGAAGGCGGGGGTCATCGAGCCATCCAAGAGCGGATGGTCAAGCCCCGTGGTGATGGTCAAGAAAGGGGACGGAACCTGGAGGTTCTGCGTGGATCTAAGGGAGGTAAACGCAGTCACGGAACCGGACGCGTACCCCATCCCTTTCATGCAAGATATTTTACGCAGGCTAAGAGACGCCAAGTTCATATCGACCCTCGACCTCAATTCGGCCTACCATCAAATCAACCTGAAAAAAGAATCCCGCCCAATGACGGCGTTCACGGTGCCAGGTATGGGCCACTTCCAATTTGTGAGGATGCCATTCGGCCTCTCATACGCCGGAGCGACCTTTCAACGGGCCATAGACTCAGTAATTGGCCCTAACATGGATCCTTTCGCCTTCGCGTACCTCGACGACATAATCATCGTATCATCGACATTCGAAGAGCACAAGGAGCACTTGCGAAAGGTACTAGAGGCGCTCAAGGAAGCCGGCATGTCCGTAAGCTTGGAGAAGAGCGCCTTCTGCAAGTCGGAGGTGCGGTACTTGGGCGTACTGGTGAATCGAGACGGGATACGGCCCGATCCCGAGAAGGTACGCCCAATCCTAGAGTTTCCTGTCCCTAGGAATATAAGGAAACTCCGCAGCTTCCTGGGTATGGCCTCATGGTACCGGAAATTCGTGGACGACTTCGCCACAATCGCAGAACCCCTCAACAGGCTCCTGAGAAAGAAATGCCCATTCGAGTGGGGTGCCGAGCAGCAAGCATCATTTGACCTAATAAAAAGACTGATGACAACGGCGCCTATACTCCAGCCGCCTAGCCCGAAGGGAGACTTCGTACTACACACCGACGCGAGCGATACAGGCTTGGGAGCGGTGCTAACACAGATAGTAGAAGGAAACGAGAGAGTCATCGAATTCGCCAGCCGTACGTTGAGCCAACCAGAGAGGAATTTCTCGGTCTCCGAACGCGAATGCCTCGGAGTAGTATGGGCCATTGAGAAGTTCCGGCCATACATAGAAGGTTATCACTTCAAAGTGATAACCGACCACAGTTGCCTCAAGTGGCTGAGGAGCATGAAGAATCCGACAAGCCGCTTGGCTCGTTGGGCGCTGAAGCTACAGGGATACATCTTTGAGGTAGAACATCGCAAAGGCGCCCTGCATCACGTGCCCGACTGCCTCTCGAGAGCATACGAAGAAGACGGCGAGGAAGACTCGACCCTGTGTGCATTGGCCTGGAGTGAATGTACTCAGGATAGGTGGTTCCTGGAAACCCTGCAGGCGGTGACGGATGAGCCAGAGAAGAACCCGACATGGAAGGTCATGGGGGGAAACTTATATACCTACCGCTTGGACACACGACTCGGTGAGTTGGGCGATGAGGAAGAGGCATGGAAGCTAGCGGTGCCCAAGGAACAGAGGAAGTCCATCATGGCCGAGTGCCACGACGCCCCGGTGGCCGGGCATCTTGGGCGAGAAAAGACTCTCGCCCGGATACGCCGCTTTTACTTCTGGCCGACCCTCACGGATGATGCCGCCAAATACGTGAAGAGCTGTGTGGTGTGCCAATAATGTAAGGTGGAGCAGCGCCCACCCTACGGCACGATGGGGCGCCGCCAAATGGAAAAGCCGTGGCAGATCATAGCCGCGGATATAGCCGGACCCTTTCCTCGAAGCCCGAGAGGACACGAATACATCTTAGTGTTCGTAGATCTATTCACTCGATGGGTAGAGTGTATCCCCCTTCGAAAGGCCACGGCTAAAAATATCATACGAGAATTCCACGATCAAATAGTTACACGGTATGGCGCGCCGGAGGTCTTCCTATCAGACAACGGCACTGAGTTCAAGAATAGAGTGGTGGAAGAATACCTTAGTAGAAGCGGAATCTCGCGGGGCCTGACACCAATTTACTGTCCACGAGCGAATCCGACGGAGAGATACAACCGTACCCTCAAGACCATGATCAGATCATATCTCGAGGAGCAACACAAGAATTGGGATGAGAAGCTTCGTGATCTCTGCTTTGCGCTCAACACCGCCGTCCATAGCTCGACCAAGGTTAGCCCCGCCATATTAAATTATGGGAGACAGCCGGTGCCACCCGCGACAATCCGGCGAGAACGGGAAGCATTAGGGGCAGAAAACGAAGAAAATCGGTCGCGGGAAGGCTGGGCGGATCACCTGAGTCACCTACCCGAATTGTTCGAAACGGTTACGGAAAGGGGGCGGCAAGAACAGGAACGCCAGGCGAAGATATTCGATCAGAAGCGACGCCAAGTCCCGTTCAAGGTCGACGATTGGGTGTGGTACCGTAACCGCGTCCTTTCGTCCGCGGCAAAGGGTATCTCGGCTAGCTTGGCACCGTCTTACAAAGGCCCATACGTCATCGTCGAAAAACTGGGGGCAAATACCTTCCGAATAGCTAATCACCAGGAGACTATCGAGGGTACGGTTCACGCCGAAGATCTTAAACTGTTCCACGAGGCGACCAAGGAAGAAGAAGACGAGGACACTCGACCTCCGAGGGACATCGAGGCGAAGCGCGACCCGCCAGCCAACTGCGACCAACCGAATGACGGAATCCACGAAGGGAGAAGCTCCGAATGCACTCCGGATTCAGCCGACGAACCTCCACAATCGGAAGCGGAGGATCCCGAGGTGGGGAATACACCCAAACGGCGACGACGTGGGCGGCCTCCGAGAGGGCCACGGAGCCAGGGCGCCCCAATCCCTGAGAAAAGGGGCAGGGGCCGCCCAAGGAAAGCTATACCGGTGGTGCGTCGGGTAATCGAGCGCTCGGCGTCAAACGAAAAGCGGGAAGACGAGCCTCCCATACGGAAACGCGGGCGACCTCGGAAATCGTAACGCGAACTCATCAATTGTAATACCCACCCCGGGGTACAGCTAATATGTATTATGTAATCATTTACCATTTTCAGACATATTATATCACGCATCATACTCATATTACATATCATTCGTCCACCTTAACCCGACATCCTCCTCCTTCCCCAACCTTAGGATGGAGACCACGATCAGGAAGAATGCCGAATGGATGGAGGAAAAACTCCGATACCTCCACCTATCGGATTCAGCGCAGGCAAGAGTCAGGGAGATCCTGGACCGGATGAAGAGGAGGCTCATCAGGGCCCGAGACCTCGAGGACCCAGTCTGCGTGGAGGAGACTATGGTGAGCGTGGCCGACGCGGCCCTCAACGAGTTGGGCGAAGTCAACCTTGGGCGCGTGGCGAGGGAACTCATCGTGCACACGCAAGTGCGGTTCCTCGCCCAACTTGGACGCGCCCACGACCAGGGGGAATCGATGCTCGCCCCAGGCGATCGGACAAAGGGTCGCCCAATCCACATCATCGAGGTGAGGGACCCCGACTCGAGAATCCCGGTAGTCACGCACAGGCCGGGATTAGCCCCTCCACCTCCATCGGACGGCCTGAAGGAACTGTGGGAGAAGTTCCTGCCGATGCCGACTAGCAGGGGAAGACCATCTCCAAAAGGCCCACTCCCACCAGTAGGAATGAGGCGAGTGCGGACGGCGGAAGCAGCGACCAACACCGAGACTGCTCCCCCCTCCGAGACATCTGGCCACGCAGGGGCTCCTTCCTCCTCCATGGGCTCCTCGGTCGATCGGGTGCCCACCAATGATCCCCGTGCGACGGCCGCAGTACCGGACCGACAGTCAACAAGCACGGGATCGGAGGACTCCACCACCGCACGTCCGGATAGGCCGGGACACACCAAGAGAGATCGCCCATACAACCGGGACGACTGGCCTACTTCCCCGTTGACCTGGCCAATGGAATCCTCCTTGGAAGAAAAGTGGAAGATCCTCCATAACGCCCTCCAAGAGGTGGACAGCGCCTGGAACTTCGTGCGACTCCTCACTCACAACACCACGGTGAGGTTCGCCGAGTTCCAGGATTATGCGGGCGCTGCCCGGATGGCCGGAGCATGGACGGAGAAGGTCGCCACCTGGCTGTCCTACACCGCGGCCATTAGGAAGGTGCGAGCGGACCGAGCCCAGGAACAAGGGTCCGGGCTGGCGGAGATCACGGAGGGGCCTCGGGCGAGACCCGCCGCCATCGTTCCGGACCGACATCCAGCGCTAACATCAGCGTGGAGGCGTCTTCATCCAGGGGCGGGACGGTGAATATCACCATCGCCCCTGATAGAGAAAGAGGCCAGAGTGGGCAACGCGGACCAGCGTTGCCCGAAAACTTCCAAAGGAAACGGAGTCGGCGCAACCACGATCCGAACCGGAAGCCGAACCCGAACCTTTGCGACCCCAACAACAGGAGAGAGGGGCTCTCCTTCTCGCAGGCACAAGGATGTGCCCGGTGCGGACATCCGGGCGTCACCCGATCCAGCAGATGTCCGAATATACTGAACCATCCACCGATGGGGAAGCCTAGTCGACCCCTTTAGCCCCTCCTCCCAAATAAAGTAGTGTCATTCAATCATGAAAAATCGCATTGTTATTACACCCCATAACCATTCACAGCCATCCATCGCTCATCTTCGCCTCATCGATATCGCCCAAACTTTCGGTAGGTCTGGACTGGGAAGGGGCTGTAACGAGCGAACTCGTTAAAGGGGTAGATGAGCGGGATTCAAAATGGCGCGCCATGCGCAATGGGCCCGCGCAGCGAGAAAGAGAGAGAGATAGTCGCGACACGCCGAGAGAGGAGTACACGTGAGACCGGCAAGTAGATGGTACGGAGATAGAGATCCTTTGTTCATTCGTTAGCTTCTTCTGTCAACTTTTGGTGCGAGAGACAATCAAGCGAGGTGACGTAGTTATCGAGAGAAAGAGTGCCGAAATTTAGGTTGGTGTCCTGTGCAGCAGAATCGTGTGACGGCGAAAGAATTGAAGAACACCATCCGAGCGGGGGAATCCGACTCGTCGCGAATCGTCGCCCACGATAAGGAAGAGCATAACCATAATTCACCTGGCTTCGGCGATTTTGGGCGACGACCTTCGCAGGACTGAATTAGGATAGCTAGGCGAAGCTGTCTGCAGCAGCATTCGCTCGCGTAAGTCCTCCCCAATATTGTAATACCAGCGTGCGGAAAATTGCGCGGCCTGCGCGCCGACCGAAACCGTATCTCCCGTCTCTCTCTCACGCGTATGTCTAAGCGGACCGTGCGGCTCGAATCTCTCGGTCGATGCGGAATGTGCGCGAGTGTATGACGGATAACGAATAAAGTCCACCCTGATTATTTTGAATAAGGCGGCGAATTTATTCGGCTATACCTAATATTCTCTGCGTCCTCTCCTCCTTCGCAACGTTTTCGGAGAACCTGCAACCGTCGCTCCTTTGCTTTTTCCCGTGCTTTCGCGCCCGTTTTCAGATCGCGCTTTCAGCACAGAGCTAGCCGGAAGAGAGAAACAACGGCGGCATAAATACTTTGTTAACGGACAGCAATTTACAACTACGAAGAAATAGCAACCGTTACAAATTATTAAAAATGTCCAAAACCAATTGTAAATTATCCGTTTTTATACATAAAATAGTGTCATCTACATATCTAAAATAAAAAAGCGGTGAACAATTATATTTTTCTCGCAAAACATTTAAACAATCTGTCTCCAAATCATCCATAACTAAATCAGCAAACAATGGCGATATTGGAGAACCCATCGGTGTACCAAAAATCTGTTTGTAAATTATTCCATCAAACTGGAAAAAAGTATTATCAAACAAAAACTTTACCGTATCAATTATTTCAGTAAAAGGTATCTCCGAAACAGAGTGAATCTTGTTAAATCGCCTATCGAGACTCTCAATGACTAAATCACATGGAACGTTTGTAAACAAAGAGCTGACGTCTAATGAAATTAACATATAATCTGACGGAACTGTTATGTTTTGAAGTTTTTTTATAAGTTGAAAACTATTATCTATATGTGAAAAAGGACGTAAATTACATTTTTTTATTTCTTTGTCTAAAACTGTAGATAAAAAATGAACCGGGCTATTAATAGTTGAAATAATAGGTCTAAGTGGATATCCAGCTTTGTGAATTTTAGGAAGGCCATAGGCTTTTGAGAGTACCGTGTTAGTTTGCGTGAGAGCATATTTATTATACTTAAAATTTAAATAACCCTTTTCATTAAAATCACGGAGAATTTTATAAACCCTTAATTGCAACGATCTCAAAACATTTCCACTAGTTAAAATTTTATATGTATTCACATCATTCAATAATTCAATCATTTTTGATTTATAATCCCCGACTTCCAAGCAAACCGTTAAATTATCCTTGTCAGCTCTTGTAAAAAATATATTGTCATTATCTCTAAGAAATTGCTTAGTGTGATCTATTTTTTGTTTCAATTCCCTCTCAAACTTTGATACATGCAAAGTATTGCTGGCAACTCCTTTCAAATTCTTTATTATAGTATCTCTGATTGTATAGTTATTTTTTATTTCTTTTTTCCGCGAAGCAGTATCATCCACAATATCAACATCACCATCATCATTCACATATGATTCATTTCGTAAAAAATACTCGACATTTTTAATTGTCAAAATAATATCTTTTTTTGTGAATTCAGATGTATTAAAATTTGGGCCCATCGATACGACCTCTATTACTTCAGTAGGTAACACAATATTAGTGAGATTTTTAACCCATTTTTCACGATGTTTGACATTACGAACAACATACTTCTTTCTGTGTATCATTGCAAACTTATCACTCAATGTCTTGTTCAATCTTTGAAAAATATTACTACTCTTTATTTCAGTAAAGAATCTAAATGAATTTAAAATATCCCGATCCATCCGCAAACCATCCAACACATAAGACAACGCATTAAGTCGCTGCCTAATATGATTCATATGAACACATAAATCTTTAATTTCCAATTTTAAAATTCTTTTAGACTGTGAATTACAAAATGCTGCAAATTCCGCCTCGCATGATTTACTATAAAATTGAAAGCCCTTCGAACGGAAACGCACTATATGTGAGGGTAACAGATCCTCACGTCTACAATTAATTAAAAACTGCAATCTAGCATTTGCTGTAGCGAGGTCAAATCTGAATTCTGTCCATCTTCTCAAAATATTTTTAAACTCTACTCCATATCTAAAAGCAATAAATTTGAAAAAGTTCCTCCTTCTAGGAACCTGGTCTTTATTCCATTGGCGACCGTTAATAGTTATCTTATTCTTAGCACTCTCCAATTTTTTAAACAAAAAATTTTTTATATCCAATTTTAGAGCCAACCCGTTGTGAAAACAATAATAATCAAACAATCATCTCAGGTTACACACGTGTGTTTCGTTGGTGAATATCCAACCTCATCAGATCTTTATTAAAAAACAAAACGAGAAAATGGTTACAATAACAGATATAAACCAAAAAACAAATAATAATCACGCTAAAAAAACATTTACCTCAATTCGCAAGTCACAATCAAATTAAAAATCACAATAAAGTCAAAAATACACTGTCAAAATCATCCTATAACATTCGTTCGAATATTCAAAATTCAAATCGGACAACGACTAAGAAATACTGCAAATCAAAACAGTGTCTGTTGCCTTTTATACCAAAACAGATATCAAAAATGATATAATCAAAAATGGTAAAATTGTCACTAATTGGTACCAAAAACCGACTTGTTCAGGCAGAATTTTGAATTTTTATTCTAACCATACAACTCAGCAAAAAAGAAACATTGTATATAATCTGATTGATAGATCTTTATTACTATCTGATGCAACCTTTCATAAAGATAATATAAAAATTGTTGAGAGCATTTTAAAAAATAATGATTACCCGAAAAAATTTGTTAAAACATGTATATTAGATCGCATTCGTAAACATAGATTTTGGAA